AGCATGATGCCCAAGAAACAATTACCCACCTTGGCCAGAGGACACCCCTGTGTCGAAATTGAAAGAGGGTGCATCGCCTTGCAAAGGACCCAGAGGGGAAGGTTCGACGGTTGGCACGACGACAGGAATAGTGGTCATAAGAACATTGGAAGAAACCGCCTGTTAGGAAAAGCATTGTAACAATGCACAGGTTCGAGAACAGCCAAAAATGTGAAATCGAAAGTCAACAAAATATACCTCAAAAGGACGTTCAGGAGGAGACACTGATTCACGTATTTCGATAACATCTCGAGAAGGTGGAGCAATGGTAGGAGAAGTAGAGGTACTTCGAGGGCTCTCAGAAGAAGATTCAGATACCTCTAAATCCACCTTTTTCTGAAAAGGAGTAATTATTACAAAGGATGAAATCGAATCAAGAGAAAAATAGTGAAGGTTGTTTGTACAAAAAAGCAAGCACATTACCTGAACAGGGGATTTCATGGCATCCTTCATAAGCTTCTCGACGGGAACCTTCGGTCTAGGGATAGACCTTGTCAAAATTGCTTTTTGTTTCCCTTTGTCTCCGGAAGACCTCCAAGTGGTGGAAACCTGAAAAATGTCGAAAGGCAAAGAGGTCAGAATGGCGTTCGAGTAACAATTTCAATTACGCCCAGAAAGATAACTTACAGATTGACCACTCTAGGAGTCCGAACAGAGTTTTTTTCTTAGGAACTTCAGCCTCTTACAAAGAACAAATGCTGATACATGAACGGCCATAGATTCAGTACAATTCCAGAAGAAGGGACGTATTTTTTTGTTCTTACCTTCGAGCGAGAGCGAAGTCGATCAGAAAGATTCTTGCGTTTTTTAGGCTTCAACGAAGTGTTGTCTTCGTCATCCTCTGAAGCTATCTCCCGGGGTTGAGTGTCCTCTTGGTGTTGAGGAACTTTTTGGGTAACAGAAGCTGAACGCGAGAAAATCAAAAAATGAGTAGAGATGTAAGATTAAAAGCCAGCATAAAAGGAAAAGAGGCAAAGTTTAATTGCCAGGATAGACAACAGTATTGTCAACCCAGCACAAAGGCCATTGTTTATCCCTGGGAAAATCGTACATAGAACATCTCGCACTCGTCACTCGATCCTTAACAAGAATATTCTTGTTATCCTCATACGAGGGATCAAGATCTCTCACCCAAGGAGGATAATCAAGACGTTTCGCGAGACTAAAAAGGGCATTGGGAAAAGGAAGTATGTTCTTAGGACAAAACTTTTCAAAATCAATTTGACCCTGAGGATCAATGACTTTGTTTCGACGGATGTTCCGTTGTACTATTCTAGACAGGGATAAAGAAGAGTCGAAAATAGTTCGAAACATATTGTCGGAGCGATAACAAACTCGGTAATATTGTTTGAACTGATAAATAATGTTGCAATTATCATAAATACCTAAGATCTTCGGGCCCTACAGAGAAAAAGGAGAATTCGTAAGTTTTCGAGAGAAGTCCTCGAAAGTAAGCATCTTGTCGGTGTAATACCCACACCACCATCGAAGGTAGCACTTAGACACCAAAAATGCAGAAAGAAAAGAACAAGGAGTGAGGAGAAGGCGTCAGGACGAATTTCAAAAAACCTTCATAATCCACATCTTCTACACAGATATTTGAATCAATTCGATCCTTTGGATGAAGAGGTGTTGGTCTGATTTGACAAAGCCCAAATTGATGGGCAAAGAGTTGAGGCTGATAGGGGTAAACTCTCACATCCCTTTGTTTCATGTAAGTAAAGATGAGATCCCAAGATAAGAATCCCATCCAGATTTTGACCATCTCCTGGGACATTTGTCCTACCTAATTATTGCCAATTAACTAGGAAGGCCTTTCCAAATCAGAGCGGATGAAAGGAGCCAAATCAGTCGAGAACTCCTCGAATTCAAGAATGGCCTGGACATAACGGGCAAAACCATCAATAGATCTTTTCTTAGGAGTCAAAGTAGTCAAGCGGGCGCCTTCGAGAGAATATCGAATGGAGGCTTGAAGAGGAAGAAGCTTCAGTTTCATATCGAAAATGGCATTAAGCCATAATTGCAAGAGCCAGAGTGGCCCTATGAGGTTTCGAGGGCCAGTTTCTCAAAATAAACTTTTCGAGGCCTCGTCGAGGCAAGTATAAAAAGAGGCAAGTAATAACTTGCTCAAGCAAACCTTTTTCTTAAGATGCAAAGCCTGGGCGAGTGTGTAGTAGTACTTGGGAACTTGCAGAGAAGGGGTACAAAAGACATAAGCAGACAACCAATAAAGTAAGAAGGAAATGTGCTCAGAGTCAATGATAGGAGTACCTTCTTTGTCATGCTGTGCACTGATAAAGGCAGAATATGTCTTTTTATCTCAGACGATCGAAGTATCTTTCATCAAAATCACTTCTTCGAGAGTGTCAGGAAGATAACGGTCCCCTAAGGGCTTCAACCCCATAATGGCAGCGATATCCAAAAGAGTCAGGCAGACAAAACCACAAGGAAATTCAAAAGCACGAGTTTCCCTGTTCCAAAAGAAAATAACAGATAGCAACATCTAGGGATCGAAGACGTTCAAGTTGTATTTCGACAACTAAACAAAATCAAATATTCCAGCCTCCTTCCATTCAGACTGCTTCGAGGTCTCAACACGTTCCAACCATTGAATGTGTTTATCCTTAGGAGGAGGAAAAACCTGAAATATCATGGTAGTATTCGAAAAAGGGAAAGGTCGATGGTGGGAGAGTAAACGAAAGGAAGAGTGGAATCATCTTCTGGAAGCAAATCATTATGAGTTTTCTTCTTGCTCGGATTCAAATAGGAGCCTAGAAAAGAATGCATTGACCCATCAAAAAGTGAAAAAGGAAGGAGTACCCGTGATTGGAAAATTTTGAGACTAGCTTCCTCCATGCCATGGATAGGAACGAATGGGTTAGCCCCTTCGCTCAAGGTAGAAATAGTCGCATTCTCGGCCAGCAAAGGTACGAAAGGAGTAAGAGAAACGATCGAGGCCACAGGGGTAGTCATAGACACGGACGCAGCGAAAGTTGCCATGAGAACGAGAAGAAGGTGAAGAAATCGAAGGTAAAAAACAAAATGAGTGCGAAGAAACAGTAGAAAGTACCTAGGAGGACAAGGTGAAATGTTATATGAAAGAGCAAAATGGGCCAAAGCGCAGTAAAAGCCCGCTGTGAAATTCAAAAAAGGGGGGATTCAAATTTTTGGTAACTGAAAATATTCACTAACGGACAAAATTTGAAAGTTTGCGTCAGCATATCCCTGGAAAGCAGAATCAGTGCCGCCAAATTTATTATAGTAGGAACGAAAAAGGAGAAATTTGGAATTAATGATGTTAGGGCCATTTAATTCTCGCGAAGAGTACAACGCTCTAGGGTCTTATGAGAGAAAGAAAATTGGGGCGTTGGAAAACATTCTTTCTCAACTACCTCGAAACAAATGTTTTCCAGGGGGCATTTGTTAGTACCAAGAATTGAATTCGGTGATACTCAAAATACAAGGGTACTCGAAATCTTAGGTGATCGGAAAATGGCAAAGAAGTTTCTGAAGAGGAGACATACGGAGCCTGGAGAGAATCTAGTGATACGCAAAGACGTTTTTCGTGAAACTCTCGAAATCCTTAAACCAGGAAAGATGTTGATCATGAAAAAGGCTCACAGCCTTGCAACCTCTCAAAGTACGAGAAAAATCAAGAAACATTCAAGTATACTTTTCTTTGGTCACTCGAAATCCCAGGGATCCGGATGTACACGAGCATGCTTTGTCTCTAATTTCCATTTTTCTAGTAGTAAGAGCGGTTGAAGTAAATCATGGGATAAGTGTCAAAGATTGCAGAGCGGTTTGGGGAAGTTATGAACGGTTCCAAGAGTTATCAAAAGACGTGCCCGACAATGAGCCACAATGTGGAAGTTTAGAGCGGTTATACGTTTTCGGAGCACGTCAGATACAATTATCTTTCCCAAATCTCTATAAATTAACGAGCCATGCTCGTAGCAAAGGGTCAGAAATCACACACCCACAATTATCCTTACAAATTGTAATTCTGTTATCATCTAATGAAGGATATGATTTCTGCAGTCAATATACATGTCATTTGTTCGGTTCACGTTAACACTTACGTGCATGAAATTGATTGTATGATTAGCATAGATATTCTGTTATGCTAAAACAATTAGCATAGATATTCTGTTATGCTAAAACAACATCCTAATCAATTAACTTTGTTGTTTGTACGATTTTATCACTAAAAGTCTTCGAATCTGCCATGTCACGAACACGCATAAATTGAAATCGCGTTAGTTCGAATAAAAAGAACCTACGAAAAAAATCCTCCACAAACAACTATAAAATTTTAAAATTATTTAAAGATTCCATTAAAATTTATTGGTATTCATTTGAAATTTTTTACAATTTAAAACATTTTATTGGTATTCAAAAAATATAAGAATTTTAAAGAATTGTTATATTAGAAAAATTTTGAAAGAGTTTTTAGTGATATCTATAAATATCAAATTCATAAAATAATCTCATGCAAATCTATTAGATTTTGGAGGATTTTTTAAAATAACTTTTCAAATACTTTAAAAATTTTCAATAAACGTTATTTAATTTTAAATAATTATTTTATATGATTTCATCACACCCCAATACAAATTATTAATAAGATATAAATTATTAATAAATATTTTAATAAGACAGACCAAACAATCTAGAATCCCTCTCGTGTAAGAGTATCTGCAATGGGAGTTGCTTATAAGCAACTCCTGTGTCACATCACTGTCATATCAGCTTTGACCCACTTTATAAGTTGCTTAAATTTTAGCAAAGTTAATTCTACAAACAACTTTGTTAAAATTTAAACAATCCATAAAATGAGTCGGAGTTGATGTGACAGTATCGTGACATAGGAGATTGCTTATAAGCCACCTCCATCAAAGATGTTCTAAAACGATGTTATTGCTAATGTCACTTTCAGTTTGGGTGTACCCGAATCTTGTGTTTATAAACATAACTAAGGGTAGAACGAACCAACGAACCCAAATCGAGTAAGTAATTATTAAGATGGCGCAAGTGAGGAACAAGCAAGTGGTTCTTAGGAACTATGTCACTGGTTTTCCCAAAGAATCCGACATGAAAATCGTTGAAGGGACCATAACTTTGAAGCTTCCAGAAGGTTCCAAAGAGGTTTTGCTAAAAAATCTCTACTTGTCTTGTGATCCATACATGCGACTCATCATGACCAAGGGCTCTGCTTCGGATTTAGGTGCCTTCACCCCTTCCTCTGTAAGTCATCAAACTTATTATTATTATTATTAAATTAATTACATTTTTAAGTCATTCCAAATATTGTTATTATGTGTTGTTTTGATAAATTTTTTCAAAGTAGGAAAGAAAAATATAAAGAAAAAATAAAATAATATTTTTCACAAGTTAAAATAAGTTAATTTGCAAAAATGTTTTCTTATCAAATTTTTCGAAATCTTATCTTTAACTCGGACATAAGTTGGTTTTTGTTCAAATAGTAGTTAATTTTGATTTTTTTCTTTATATACTTTTCTTATAAAAGTCTTTCTAGTGAAACTTACTCAAATAAATTTTATGGGATTTTTGTCTCTCAAATTTTAAGAATTATGTCAATCGAGTTTTTTTAGATTTTTTTTTCTTTTCACAGTCGAGTCTCTCTGTTTTTATTATTTTGAAAACAATAATTTATTTGCCAACGTTATCAGCATAACAATCAAGTCAGCGTTAGTAGAGTTCAGATGTGTTTTTATAAGCTTTAACTGGGCCATTATATTACTCAAGTTAATTATCATAGTTAATAGAATAGTAGATTAAGCCTAACTCAATCTTACAAAAACGGCCTGTAAGGTGAGGGTTGCTTTCCACTTTTATATATTCAATTGCCTAATTTCTAGTCGATGTGAGACTTGAGTTTTTTTCAATAATAGTTAATTTCGTTAAATATTATGTAAATTTGAGATAGAATTAACTGTTCTTTTTCTTCTTCTAGTTCCTTATGCTACTTCTTGCTTAAGACATGTGCTTGATGAAAATTTTGTTTTGGAGTACTAGAAAGAGCTGCTGAGTGGGTTGCATGCGTAACACTTTACCCTTCTTTTGTTATGAAAACTGTAATAGTTTAATCAAGGTTGTTGTCGATTATGTTACACGGATACCGGTAAGGGACTATAGTGTCCTCGATTCCAACACTCTTTTGGAACGAACACATTATAAACGAGTCTCGAAT